ATTCTGTCTGTATGTCTGTCTGACATGATGATCGTCCAGTATTTTTTGAATTTTAATACTCTCTATTATTAAATCAGTTTAACTCTGTGTTCTTGTTTCTTCACAGCTCTGCTGTCAGCTACAGCTGTCAATTATCTGCTGTCGCTTGTAGCTATTGTATTGTTCTATGTTTATTACACTCACCCAGAAGGTTGTTCTGAAAACAAGGCGTTCATCAGCGTCAATATGCTGCTGTGTATTGGTGCCTCTGTAATGTCAATTCTGCCAAAGATTCAGGTATAGTTCTAATTGTTTGGTTTTTGTTTTTCATATTATTTTCAAACAAAAATCTATCATGTAATCATGCCTGAAGTCTTTTATTAATTGCCTGACTCTTTTTTTGACTACTTAAAGGAATCTCAGCCGAGATCTGGTTTGCTGCAGTCTTCTGTGATAACGATTTATACAATGTATTTGACTTGGTCAGCTATGACCAATGAACCAGGTAAGAGTAGCAGCAATGCATGCCGCCTTAGTATAAAAAATAATTTTCAAGAGTAGTGAATTCTATCTTCACCTTTTTGCAGGGCAATACTAGAATGAGGTACTATCACATTATGACATGTGGGAGTTAAGAGGCAGGAGCCATGGCTTTGTGCCCCCCCCCCACCCAAAAAAAACTGTAAAAATACTGTAAACTATATTAATGCAAGCTTTCATGGTTCTTGTGTCTGAAAACAACTGAACTCCACTTCAGAACAAACATTCAGAAATTCCTATGATAAAAAATAAACTGCTGAATATGATCTCAAGTGTTTTTATTGGATCTCTGGAATGGAAATGGCCCTTTTGTCTATATTATAGACAATCTTGTGTGCTTCTCTTTAGCAGCATAGATGTGAGTCGTGTTTACTGCAGTAATTATGGGGAAATCATATTACTTTCAGCTGTTTCATCTGTGTATTATCAGTGGGTGTGGGTTGGGGAGTGTTGATATATTAAACTGACTTAGTAACATTCTTTTCTAATTCTGAGATGACTCTGGTACCCCATCTATAGACTGTATGGTTGTCAAACTTGTTTTCTAGCTGTAAAATTTCTGGCTTTGGAAGTTTAATATGGAGAGCTCTTTTATTTTGTGGCATCTAATTATATGAGATGGAAGAGCAGAGCATTTGATGCATAACTTATTACAGGTTTTAAAAATACTCTTCCTTTATCTACTTTGAGACAAATATTGACACAGTAAACTGCCATTTTCCTGCTTTAGAGAGAGATAGACTAAAACTAGATTCACAGCTTTTCATACCTTAAAATTGTCACAATCAAAGTTGCATTCAGTGTGCAAATACACTTTTAAATTTGTTCTGCTCTTATTTTGTTGAACTTCTAATGTAATTTTCCTAACAGATAGGAGCTGTAACCCAAGTCTGCTGAGCATCATTGGTTACAACACCACCACTATTCCAACCCGAGGTCAGGTAGTTCAGTGGTGGGATGCCCAAGGAATTGTAGGACTGATTTTGTTTTTGTTGTGCGTTCTCTATTCGAGGTAAGATTTCTTTTTTTAATTTTTTTTTTTAATAATATTAATTTGTATTACCTCTGTCAGTTACTAGGTTAATTTATTTGGTTAATTGTACTATTTTCATTGCTGTCAAATGCAGCATCCGAACATCCAATAATAGCCAAGTTAACAAGCTGATGCTGACCAGTGATGAATCAACACTGATAGAGGATGGCATGCCCAGAAGTGACGGCTCTCTTGATGATGGAGATGATGTCCACCGAGCCATAGATAACGAAAGGGATGGAGTTACTTACAGTTACTCATTCTTTCATTTCATGCTTTTCCTGGCATCGCTGTATATCATGATGACACTTACCAACTGGTACAGGTAATCTGCATTTGATAGTAAAGTGTACTAATAGTAGTATAGTGTACGAGTAATGAGTACACAAGATGCTATCTCTTGCTGGAGAAGAAGGCACATGTTAACTGAAATGGAATGTAGGTCTTGAGTGGGATTTTTCAAGGGAAGTATACTGTTGGCTCTATGTTAAATGAACAGTATTTGCAATTTAGAGTAGTCAGCCTTATTTGCAAGCCTCTGCCATGCTTTCTTGGAAAATTCTTGTGATTCACTGGGCTGCTGAAATATGTCTTGTTGAAATAAACAGGATAGAGTAACTTTTTTTTATAGTAACTTACTAAATATAAGTAAACGCTAGGCCTCTGTCTGGTGCAGAGAGCAGGAAAAAGGAGAGGTAGAACACAAGATGTTTGCTATGCCTGGTCAGTAGTGGAAGGAAATTAGGTTGTCTGCCTGCTGAAACATCCCCACAATAAATGGCCTTCTGTGTGCATGCTTCTGCAGGTTTCAACGTGTGAGTTAATGGGATAGTCTTTCTATTAACTTAGTCCTCTAATATTATGTTAACAGCTTGAACAGAGTTTCTTCAGAATTAAAAAGGCTGAAAGTCTCTAATAAAATAAAAAATGCTATATCAGAATAACAAAACTAGAAAGGTAATTTCTTCAAAAGTAACTTGTAATAGAGTCCTGCTATGGATTTGTTTTTGTGGCCTTGTTTGGGTTAATATGACATCAAGTTCATTAGTTCTTCTAGGGGGCATCTTCTTACAAATGAAAATACTTTTTTTTTTTAATGCCTATTACATGCTATCCAACTCCTGTCTCTCCACAGATGTGCTCTGAGATTCCTTACAGTTATTTAATTGTATAATAGACAGGTTCCCCCCCCCGCCCCAAATGGCATTCTGTTTGACATAATTGCATGTATTATAATTGAACTTTCAGTAGTTCTAAAGTTAAAAACCTTGCCCAAATTTGAGGGGAAGGGGAGTGCACAACTGCTTGTTTGCATGTCTTCGGTAGCTTTGGCTTGGATAAAAAATGAACTGATTTCTCACCTCATTAGTCCAATTCAGAGTGCTTTTTTTTTTTTTTTTTTTTTGGTTTTGAGCTAGTTTTGTTGTCATTGTCGCTCTGGGAGCGTAGAGGGGGTCTCCGTGTTTGTTAAGCATGAAAGCAGTAGGCAGAAAAAGGCAGTGGCTGCCAATGAAGTTTTCATACAAATAGGCTTGAACTGCCTGGTAGGGGGAGGGTAGAGGAGGTATTCTTGCAGGTGTTGAGTCAAAGTGAAAATGAATGTACTGTTAAAAGTAAGTGTTGAGTGACTGACTTACTACACTAGTCTGTCATATTTAAAAAAAAATAAAAATAAAAAATTCACAAGTGATGTTTTTTCTTTTCTTTCTTTCATAGTCCGGATTCTTCTTATGAGACAATGACCAGCAAATGGCCATCTGTCTGGGTGAAGATATCTTCCAGCTGGATTGGCATCGTGCTGTACGTGTGGACTCTGGTTGCTCCGCTGGTTCTAACGAACCGTGACTTTGACTAGGCTATTCTGCTCTCCAGAGAGATGGGTTCACCTTGTCTTTGAAATGAATGATATTCCATACTACCGTGTTGTTGTAAATAATGTGTGTGTGCTATCCATGTAGTGTATACCCTGCTTTATTCTGCATGATGACCTTGAATCATGTGCTTTTTGTCATTTCACTAAATGACTTTCTGGCTGAGCTCAGTGACAATTGCTGCAATGATGGTTTCATAGGATTACTCCTAGATTTTGTGCTTTGGGAGCATTAGATATAAGATCAAGACTTTTGGAAGTAGCTTCCCTTCCCCACCCCCAATTGCATTAAATACTAAAATGGGAAAAAAAAAAAAAAGTGCAAATGTAGCAATGGAATAAAACAGTATTAGAGCAGACACTGCAAGCAAAGGAGGGGCTGCCTTTGATAATCCCTGTTGCCTTGTTTCCGAAGTCTTGTTTAAGCGCTGTTAAGATTCAAAACTGTGCATGTTACAGAGTTTACTGCACACTTTGCATTATTTTGGCACTAAAAGTCTGACTTTTTCTGTATTGAGGGCAATAATACCTTTGGCACAAAGCTTAAATGGAGAAACTTGCACCTGAAGTTGCAAAGAAGCTAATGTCCTCCTTGGTGCTATTGGGTCTGATATGCCCTACTGCAGATAAAAGGACACCCTGGAAAAGAAGCAATTCCTGGTATCGTGCCCAGAAGCATGTTTTTAAGGCACCTGTTTACAATATGCATCTATATTTTTCAAATAGCTTAGATAGGATATAGCTGTGCTGTAATTTATTGCTGTTTGGTATGCCATTTTCTTCTTGGCTAACTTAAAATCATAGAGGTTGCAAGGAGGCGAACAGTGAAATCTATAGGCCCTTCAGAGGAAACGTTTGGGGTATTGTGATTTAAAAGAAAAATGGAGGAAAAGCAGCACTGAGATCGTAAAGGAGGCTTGCATTACCTGAGACTTCAACAAAAGTGTTTCTTAATATTTGTGGGGGTTCTAAAATTTGATCTATTTTAATGTACTTATTAGATATTTTGCTTGCTGTCCCTGGCATGTCCATTGCCAGAGATGGACTTGGGCCTAGAAAGTCTTAATTCTAGGCATGAAATACAGCATTAGATACAGGGTTTTTTTTAATTAAAAAAACTGTAGAGTTCCGTGCAGTTATAAAATCTTGAATGCTTTTGTGCTTGCTGCTTTGTAATTGAAGTATGTAAGCTGCATTATTTATATATTTCTGTTACTTGTTACAGCTTGAGACTTTAGCAGTCCGATTGGGAGTGACCCTAGCAACTTTAGCAGTTGTCATCATGATCTGTTACTGTGGTGTTTATACTATTACTTCACGTTGCTAAATCTCTAAGGTTTTATTTTAAATCTGCTCTTTAACACTGACATTTACTGAAGAAGTCTGACTTGTCAAAGTCAATGGTAATGACACAATTAGTAAAGAAGATGTTTAGTAATTTTGAACATGTTATTATTACCTATTAATAAATAAATTTGGATGAAGTTGTCTAATGACTCAATCTCTCATGCTATTGCCAAAGGATAGTATATGGTTTTGTATTGTATTCTAATCTTACATTCCTGGGACATTTTAAGCAGCAGCACTACTCTGGCACTACTGTTACAGCAGCACCGAAGTATATATTACGGCAGTGATAAATAGCTGCTGTTTCATTGAATTAAAAAGATGAAAGGACAACACCTTCACCTACTGCTATGCCTGGCTAAGTTATTCCTTTAGAAAAGGGAATAAATAGTGTGGAATGTGTTGTGTTTTTTTTTTTTTTCCTGTTACATATATGAAGGGGCTAGTAAAGGCACTTTTTTTTTTTAAGCCTTCACTGGGGCATCTCATGCTGGAGCTTTTGAAAGTGCTGAATCTGCAAGTTTGAGCACAGAGCATGAATAGAATTTCCATCTTCAATTAGACTGACTTCTCATTGTTTATACTAAATCAGGAGGTCAGAAAAAGTATTTGGTTACAAACAGGTGAGTATTCAGCTAAACTTAACCCATGTCAATTGCAGGTTCACCTAGCTGAATGCGAACATGCTTATTTTAATGCTATATAATACAGTAACTTAACAGTCACTTGAAGTTAAGTCTTCAATATTGAAGGCAAAATTCTGTGCAAGCGTCTCAATAAATTGAGCAGGTTAAAGCTCTTCCAGTGAAAGCAAGGCTACTGAGCTCTGCACTAGTGAGTATGAAAACATGAAGGGAAAAAATGTTGTATACTGCTAGAAGCACATAAAGTTTTCTACACTTATCACTAGCCCTTTCTCTGGCATTGCAGGCTCATCCTATAAATGTTATGGTTTGTTAATGCTAGCAATTTAGATACTCTTTACTCTGAAAACTGAAGTCTGCTGGAATACTCTTTCAGAAAGACAGCAGAAGCAAAAGTCACTGCACAATTAAGGCTGGAAAAACAGAGGCCTTTAAATTCAAATCCACTTGGCAAACATAATAAGAGGCAACCCTTAGCAAATATCACACTTAAGTAACGTTTATTTTTATCAGAGTAGATGGTCCAAGTACTCATGCAGTCAACGAGCTTGGTGACTGTAAAGACTTTTCCCCCGTTTGTGCTATTAATAAGCACTTCCACAACAGTGAAAGTAAGGCAGAACCAAGATTCAGCAAGGTACAGGCACTTTGTTCCCAGTTCAAGCAGGGAAGAAAAAAGCCTACATCAGGTCCTGGTCCCCTCCCACCCCAAAAAAGCCTCATGTTTATTAAACAAACTGTTGTAAAAAATAGAAAAAACTCGAAATACAGAACGTCAGTGCTTCCCTAACCATACACTACTAGTTTACTTCATCATACATAAGACGAGAAGTATAAGCTTACTATTAACAAAACAAGTGTTTGGGTACCCTGGATATTCAGAGATATGTATAATTCCAAGTATTTGACAGTAGTTAAGTATGGTAACAGTCTGACTTGGTATTGCCAACCATGTCTAATAGCTCGTCTAACTAACTCTATAGTTAAACAACTGCTTGTAGGAAGGAAGATAGGAAAAGATGTTTTAGATTCAACATTATCTGGTTACATAGAACAGAGTGATTTACAAAAAACGCATATACCAAACAATCTTCTAAATAAATAGTTCATCTTCATGACTATATACAGAGTCTCCATTATATTAGTTATCCAAGAATGGCATGTCTGTGTCCATGGGGGCTGGAGCCAGTTCACATAAATAGAACAGCGTGGCTTCACTTGCTTCTGCCTCTGTCAGCGGCTCCAGCCGCACTAATTTGCTCTGAGTTGGTGCAGGATCCAGACTGCTCTCCAGGAGCTCATCTACTTCCAGGTGTTTGTCAACAGAGGAAGCAATTTCTGTTGTGGAGCTTCCACTCTCAGCAGTGGAGCCTGGGTTCCCATCAAGGAATGCAAGGAGTGGAAATGCAGTGTACTGTATGAGTTGTTTATCTAAACAGAAAAAGGTTTCCCAAAACACTGTCAGTTCATATGCAATTCTAAGTGCAGAAGGAAGAAAACAACCCAGACTTTATTTTTTAAAATCTCTGTTAATGCTTGTTTTTAAACAGTGATTTAAGAAGAGCTGCTGCATTTAAACATAAAATTATTTGTTTGGACTCTTTTGCAAAATCATCAGTTTTTCTCTGCACCTGGTGCAGTGTCAGGAAGGAGCCTTAAAAGCAAAGGGAATACTAATTTTTGTGTTTTAGTCATTTGCTTATCACAAAACAAGACAAGACAAGGAGCAAATAACAGATTGTTTTAGACCATCTTTGTTCAACTGTGAAACTGTTTCATCAAAATATTATTACAACTAACCTGATTTGGGCTTAGAAACTTGTGATTCTTGTGAAGCAGCTGGACCAGCATTATTCTGAACAGTTTCTATTCCCTTTGGCTCCATCTGGAAAAGAAACCAAAATCTAAATATACACTAAAATTTATTTCAATAGATTGCAATTGCAACTGCAACGCCAACAGATCTTAGCTGACCAACTATTAAAAGTAAGAACAACAACAACAAATGAAAGATTTTTTTTAAATTAGGGGCTGCACTGGCATCAGTTATCCATACTAAATAGATTCCAGCCTAGAAAACATGAAACGGAAGCAAACTTTTTCGAGGAAGAACTGAGACGAATATTCATAAAAGATCTAACTCTAAGTTTGTCCTGGTCTGTTGTTCTACTGCTTGTTCTAGGTTTCTCTTTGCCACCAGACAATACAGATGAAAACAGTGTATACACCACATTTACAAGTAATAAAATCTCAGCAGATGCAAAAGTCAAAAGAACGGTACTATGTTCAGCTATTGGCTTCAAGGTAATTTAACACACTTCTAAAGGACGTTATTTGTTACTGACTGGTATGCTTTTCCCCTTCCTGTTTAAAACTAACAAGCAGAATGAATTCAGCTGCAGTCTTCCTATTCTCATGGAACTCTTGAAAGCCAAAGCATTAAAAAAAAATATAAGTTTTATACCAGTAAAGAAAACAGGTAAAGGACAAAAAACAACTTTGCATCTCTCACTACTATGCAAGTTGAGTAATGGATTTAAGACTTACTTTAGTATTAGTGATATGATCTGTTGGGTTCATCTGCACAGAGCTTGTAAAAAGCTGAATAAGACAAAACATACCAAGTTTTAGGTATCTCGATGTTCCTATTAAGAATACAAATAAGTCATATCTGCATGTGTGAAGATAATCCCTGTACTGTATTTTCACTCTCAATCAGGATTAGAGTTTGTTTACAAGTAGTTATCACTTTTGCCAAGAAAACCTAGCATTGGAGCGGACTTGGTTTGGAATTGCATAAACTTTAGCAATAAAGGAACAACTAACATCACGCCTAACTTGGAATAATGCAGTTTGCTACTGCTGTAGTCTTCAAAAATACTGATGCATTCATATTTTGCTGCATAGAGAACTCCATGGACAATGAGGAAGAATGCTCCCTCCTCATATTTGCAAGCAACACCAAACTGGAAGGAGTCATCAACACATGGGAGAGCAGAGCTGCTGTTCAGAGCGATCTCCACAAGCTGCAAGAGCAGTCCAACAGGCACGCCACCAAGTTCAGAGCCAAATGCACCTGGGACACAATAACCCCATGCGTTGGCCCAGGCAAGGGACAGAGCGGACAGGGAGCAGCTGCTCAGAGACAGACCTGGAAGTCCAGGTGCACAACAACCAACCATAAGCCAGCAGCACAGACTTGCTACAGGGAGGACACTACAGTAATAGTTAATTAATAATTAATTATAAGCTTGCTGCAGCAAGAGCACAGCTTCCAGGTCAGTGGAACAATTATTTCCCTCTACACCACACCTGAGGCTACTTCTGGAAAAGCATGCAGTTTTAGGCCTCCCAGTATGAGGCAGCTGTCAAACTGGAGAGTCCAGAAGGCCACACACGGTTAAGGGGCTGGAGCATACGCCACACATAAGGCTGGGGAGCGTGGCTTATTTTGTCTGAAGAGGACAAGGGGAAAGAGGATGCAACTGCACCCTTCCACTACTTCTGAAGAGGTGTTATAGGTAAGACAGAAACTCCACAGGGTGGACAGGAAATGACAAGAGGCAAGAGCCACAAGCTGCAGCAAGAGAAACTGTGATTGACATAG